TGATTAAGTGATTACATAATTTCCCGAATTTCACAGTATTGTGGAATAATGATGCTCATTTAAAGTCACAAGTTCATTCTAACTTTCCGAGCAAATTGTCTATCATAGTCTATAACATATAACGGTGTACACAATACACCATACATGTGATCAGCCAGCATGGGGATATTTAATAGTGGTTCGACCAGATGAGTGGGAGTTCTTTGTTTCTTAAGTCCTGTTGGTTTTGTATCACCTAACATTTTGGATTTAGCATCCACTTATCAGGGAGACCATGTACCGTTTGTCTCTTCGCTCTTGGCTTACCTCGCTCAACATGATTCCTTCTAGCTCCATCCATTTCCCTGCAAATGCCATTATTTTGTCATTTCTAATGGCTGCATAATATAGAGTACATGCATCTTGATGAGTGTCACTCCTTTTCTCTCCCATTTTTCCCTCTCCCTTCCTTCCTCTCAAGTGACATGGGTCCATTTTCACATATGTACGTTGGACATAATGACTGTATTTGTTCACCTCACTCACCCATTTGTGTGTGCCTGTTCCCTCCCCTGACAAAATATGTTTCAGTTTCCTGGGATTCATTGTGGTTAAACTGTTCGTTATAATTGTTTACATGAAGAATTTAAAAAGGTTATCTTTTTCTTTAAACTTCTTAGTATACCATGAATCCACATACTTTTTTCTGTATCTATTCTTTAGTGTTCTTTCTGATCGGAGCTGTTTAAGAGTTACAGCTGGTCCTACATCGCTGGATCTTGATGTTAATGTCCAGAGGACTCTAGATAACAACTTAGCAACTGAAGCTTATGAAAGAAGAATTAAGCGCCTTGAACAGGAAAAACTTGAACTTAGTAGAAAGCTTCAAGGTAAATATACTTAAGGGATGTTTCTTCCTGTTAGAATTGGATTTACAGTACTATGAACTATATTATAAGGAAGTCGTTTTGTGAACTGTAACAAGTTTTAGAAATTTATGGAAAAGAAAATACAATACCATTCATGTAAAAATCAAACAATATTGTTTTCAGGGGTATGCATCCGTGTATATGCATAACACACAGAGGGGGGAGGAGAGAAGGAAGTGGGGGAGATCCTCCTGGAGAGAGGGGAATGGGATGAAAACAGGGCTCATCACACCTCATTGCAACCCTTTAATGACTCCATAGCCCATTTTCTGGTCCTAGTTGTTATTCTTTACAGCACAGAGCCTTTCTTCATGTTTGGTGATTTTGAAGCACACCTAGAACCTCTTAAGATTCGGACTTAGTTTCTCAATTTTGCGAGATGATCTTTTTTGTTGTTGGTACTAGGATTTGAACTCAGGACCTTGCACTTGCTACCCAGCATTTAAGCCCTGAGCATTACCTCTAGCCCTTTTTTGCTTTTGTTATTTTTCCAATGGGGTCTTGTTTTTTGCCTAGGCCAGACTGGATAACAGTCCTGTTTATATGTCCCTTGTAACTGGGACAGCAGACACCATGATGCCCACCTGTGTTTGATTGTGATAGGGGCTTGCAGACTCCCTGCTTTTTAAATGGGGATTACATGTGTGAGCTACCATACTTGACTATCTACAGTGACCCTACCCTGATCTCTACCCTCCCTTAACAACTACATCGAATAGGAGAAGGTAATACAGTAAGAAGGCTTCATTAATCTTAGTTTTAAGCAAACCTTTGGTAACCTCCTACTTGTAGTTTTCTGGTGCACTCTCCCTGTGCCTTGTGGTTTCATTATTACTCCAGCTCTCCAGCTCTCTGTTCCCCTTCCTCTTACAACCCTCCCTTTTTACTCTGCTGTCTCCCCCTCTTGCTTGCCCAGCCATTCTCAATACAGCTTTCCCTCTGCTGCTGTGCTGCTGAAGCAGCTTGCAGAACACTCCTCCCTGCCACCCAGCAGTCCTACTTTCCTTTACCTTAACCTCCCGCGTTGCAGAGCCCACCAGTCATTTCTCATATTTCTCATTGACCTCATTAAGCATTTTTCCCTCCAGAAAATGCTTTCTTTTTATGGCTTTGGGAGCACTTTATTCCCCTGGGCTCCTTTTACCTTGCAAGGGAGTTCTTCTCAGTCTCCTTTGCTGCTTTCTCATTAGCTCCTTGACCTTTGAATGTTAGAATTCTCCACACTTAGTTCTCTGAAAGGAAGCCTGTGGTCGTTCCCAGTCTTTGCAGGCAATTCACCCATCAGTGAATCAGGCCAACTTTGCTATTATAAATGACTCATAATTGGGTCGTCACTCTGTGTGGCTCCTACTCTGCTTCACTACACCATTACCTGGCATCAAAAATTCAGTTTTCCCAACATGATAACCAAGTTGATTTCAACGATCCAAGGTCGTATGTAATCTGGCCTGTTACTGCTTTCTGATTTCACTTCTCCAGCTCTTCGTTGTTCTCACAAGTCAGACAGTCACCCCAGAAGACCTGTGAACCAGTCACTGCCTTACCTTAATGCTCTCCCTTTGATACTCAAAATGAAGGGTGTAACATACTATCTACTTCATGTATTTTGTGAGTGAAAGAATGTGTGGCTGAACAAATTTAATCTAGAATTCATAATTCCTAAGAGAAAATCAAGTTTTAAAATCCTAACAATTTGCCATACTTTAGGAAGTCCAGTTGAGAAAAAAAGACTATAGACATTGGCAGAACCTAGAACGATGATAGTGATAATTTGGTGGTGCTGGAAATCTTAATAAACTCAGGATCTAGTCTATCACTTGAGACAGAACTCTAGACTTTTTTTTTTGCTTTTAGTTTTTTTTAAGTTCGTTTTATTTGATTTATTTTCTATTGTGTGTATATTTCATGTTACTTTAAATTTTTATTAAATAATTGTACAAAGAGGTTAATTCTGTAAGTCAGGTTCTGAGTACAATGTATCTTGATCAGTCACCCTTTCTATCATTCTTCCCCATTCCCCCCACCTTCCTGTCCCTGCCCTCAAGTTATGTAGTTCATTCTTTTTACATAATATACACTGAATATAATGACTGCTTTTGCTTACCCTCCTTCCCTCCCTCTGTTCCTGTGCCCCTCAGCCACCAGCATGTTTCCATTCCTGGTATTCATTTTGTAAAACACTTCATTAATTGTTTAGAGTTTAGAGTTGTTGCTTTTAGTTATTTTTCAGGTAGTGTCTTAGTTTTTGCCTAGGGTAAGCCGCAGACCATAATCCTCCTATCTATAACTGCTTGTGTAGTAGAGATCATAGATACAAGCTATCATGTCCATTGATTGAGATGGGGTCTTGGTAACTTTTTGCCCAAGCTGACCTAGGACCATAATCCTTCCAATCTCTGCTTTCTGAGTTACTGAGATGCTGGGTGTGAGCTACAGTACCTATATTGAATAGATTATTTTCTATTCTCTAATGAAGTTGTTAAAATCTCTGCATGCAAATTACTTCTCCTTTGTGACTCGAGTTTTAAAATTTTGCATATTAGTACTGTGATCTACATGTAATCTAGAGGGAAAACTTTTATGTATATAATAAACAGATACATGTGTGAATTTCTGTAACCTTCACCCATATTAGTAGATGGAATATTTCTATCATAGGATAAAGATCTTTACAAACTCTTCCTCCCTATTCTGAAGTAAACATCTTATTTTCTTCCCCCATTAATTTTTAACCCTTTCTTGATAATATATGATATTTTCTCTTACATTTGGTTTATTCTTCTTTCTGAGTTTTGAGCTTCATCCATGTTTTGGATGTATTAATAGTTCATTCTTAATTTTACTGTGTTTAGCATTCTGCTATATGTAAATACTAAAAACTTATTTGTGTTCTAGTACTTCATGAGCTGTAATAATACACATCTTCATGTCAACTGTGAACTCTTAATCATTAGGCTGTGTTTCAAGGTGGCTTAGTTCTGCTTATTATAATAAAACATAGATCTAGGCCTACCCCAAACACAGGGACAATAGATGACTTTAAGACTTCCCTTTACCAGAAATGCTTTCTGCTTCTATTTCTCTTTTCCCTTAGTGAGTTTGTTGACAGTTTCTTAGCATCTGAAAGAAGGCGGCAGACTCAGAGAGTCCTGTCTTGTAACCTAGTATCTAAAAATAAGTGATGTAAGTAAGCTTCACAAGCAGCCATAGATGAGAAGGGAACTTGTTGCTCTGAATTTTTCGGTTTTCACTGTTTTAATATTTGAGTCGGTCCTTTCAATATTAGTTTTAATTTCTCTATCTCCTCATCCATCGTTTCTGTTGGAGATACATACCACTCACAGTTGAGAACCAATTCATTGGTTCTAAACCACAAGTTTATTCTGCAGTTCATCCTGGCCAATTAATTCTAGACCAGTTAATTCTGTAGTTGTATTAGAAATAGAGCTATTACATTATTTGAGGATGGAAGCAGGAGAAGCCTTAATAGTAGGATTTATTTCCTCACTTAACAATTCACAAGTGGGTGGATTCAGTATTGATATAGGAATAGTTTAATTCTTATTTTTTTCCACATGGTGGCCACTGTTGTCAAAGGTTTCAGACTTCCTGTTTGCACAAATCCAGAGGTCAAAAAAGTTGAAGAGTCATTTTCTTTTATACATTTCTCATTTAATGGGTAACATCATAGCAATCTAGAGGGCTTCCTCTCAGAGGTGTCATTAGTTTGTTGTTATTATTTGAGATAGAATCTCTTGGTGTTGCCTAGGCTGGTCTTGAAGGTCCATATTTAAGCAATCCTCCTGCCTCAACCTCGTAAGAGGAACACCACCATGCCAGGCTCATGCTATAACAATGCCAGCTACCTATTTCTTTAATACTGATGACATAGAGTAGAATTACTGTAATTAATTTTAAACAAACAAGAATTTTAAACAAACTAGAATGGGCCTACCTTGCCCATGCCCATTGTAGACTGATAGCTGGTTTTGGTTCATAAGGAAGAAGAGACGAAAACTTAGCAGCTATCCTAGCCGCTTTGTTGGCTGAGAAGTTAGTGCTAGATAGATTTTCCATTTCTTGTTGAAATCACTAAGAATAATGACAGAGCAGTCATACACAAGGAAAAACACCTCCTGTTGATGTAAAGAGAACGGTGGGTATTCTCTTCAAAATAAATACAGAAGGATCAATATTGAACACAAATAAAAACATGTAAGAAATACTTATTAGAGATAGAAGGTCACAATTCTATATATAATAATATCTTAATGCCTTTAATTCAAGTGAACACACGTTATTGACCACTCTGCATATAAAGATTATGACATTTTCTGTGTATGTGCATATACCCATGTGTATATATTCATATAAAGCAATTAGTAATGGTGTGCATATACAGAGAATATAGTAACAGGTTTTATATGGGAGCACCTCTGTAAATAGCAGAAAACATATTTTAGTACAAAGAGGGATTTCATTTCTGATATGAAATTAGTTTTATGTGTATTTTTTGATGATACATGAAACATTAGTGCTAATGTTTCCTTAAAAAGTTTCTATCCATCTTTTGATTAGAACTGCTTGTATTTGTGCATATTATGTAAAAGCACATTCAAGCTGGATCTAAAATCCAATAGGACATAGTAAGTTATACAGGACTCTAGGCATCTTCACGCAGAACAAAGGTGATATTAGGGGAGGAACATAAAGGCACAATGCCTGTGTGCATCTGGTCATATAAAGTGATATTTATTGAAATGAACTCCAGGAAATAGAAGCGGGGTCTTTCCTTTGTTGTTGTTTTTCTTTTCTTTTAGTCTTATTTGCTTGTTTATCCACCTTTGGGAGGATAAGGGGGAGAAAGGGTGAATAAATGGCATCGGTGGTACTCACTAGACCCTATGTTGCAAATGAACTATACAACTTGTGGGTGAGGACAAGACGGAGAAACTGAGAGAAAACAAGGAAAGGGGAAGCATTGTCCAAAAAGAATTGTACTCATTACCTGACTTACATAACTGAAACCCCTTTGTACATTACCTTTATAATAACAAAACACACACACATACAAAAGTATTCCTTCATATACCAGCTTCACCTCTCCATACATTATCTGACATCTGACCTTTCTTTATTGTATAGTATTTGGACAAAAAGTGACTGAAATACTGATTACTGCAGAGGTTAGCAACTGAGCTTAAAACCTCATAGATAAGAAGGCAGATTTATTAATATATAGATTGCTTTTTTGTTTGTTTGTTTTTGTCAGTCATGGGGCTTGAATTCAGGGCCTGGGCTCTGTCCCTCAGCTCTTCAGCTCAAGACTAGCATTCTACCACTTGAGCCACAGTGCCACTTCTTGGCTTTTTTTAGCTTATGGGTACTAAGGAATCGAACCCAGGGCCTCATGCATGCAAGGGAAGCATTCTACCACAGAGCCACCTTCTCAGCCCTAGATTGCTTTTCAAAAATATAATCTAAACAACTGCAGTAGAATTTTTATGTCTTCCTAAGTTTATATTCTTTGTAAGTGGGTAGATGTTCTAGTCTATAGAACTGTATAGAAATTTTCATTAAAAGAAAGGTACAATATTGCTTTAGATACTTTAAATTATGTGTGTTTTTCATTCTTTTTTTTCTTTAAGAGTCAACACAAACTGTCCAAGCTTTGCAGTACTCAACTGTTGATGGTCCACTTGCAGCAAGCAAAGATTTAGAAATAAAAAACTTGAAAGAAGAAATTGAAGAACTAAGGAAACAAGTAGCAGGTAAACTGATCCATAATGAATCTAATAGATTTTAATAAATGTTTATTTATACACCAAACATCTGTTGAGTCCTCGTCTGTGTTATGTGTTATGAGTTACATGCAAGTGAGGGAGAGGCTAATAAAAAGGGTTTCTGTTCTCAAGGAACTTTCCCACTGATCTGGGAAGTAGATAGACATATAGACCTTGCTGTCCAGATAAAGTGGCTTTGGGGAAGTGCAGAAATAATATATAGGAGGAGCACCAAATCCAGACTTAATGAGAAAAGAGGGGTTTGGGAGAAGATTTTCCGTGTGGACCTTGAGTTGGTTTTTTCTGGCAAAATCCTACCTGTGAACAGAAAAATGAGTGTCAGAACTGAGGAGACAAGCCCACTGCAGATGAGTTACATGTGACCAGAGATCGAGGTTGCTGGAAATGTATTTTCTCTGTGGAAATTCATTTTTCAGTGTGTTTCTGAGAATCATTAAATTTGACAGATGTTGATGTGCCTGTTATATTCATTGTTTCATTCATTTCATTTAAAAATATTTGTTGAGTTACCTATTATGTGGCAAGTGTATTTCAGGCTTTTGAGATACAATGAGAAACAAAAATCCTTGCCCTTTCTAGGGTAGACGACAGGTAACCACCAAAACAAAATAAATGTAGAGTTAGGTAGTGCTTTGTAGAAGGAGTTACATGGACCAGGAGGGATTTTGTTGTTTTATGTAATACTGGTGTAGGTCTGATTAAGAAGGTAACCTGTTTGCAAGTCCTAAAGATTGGGAAGGGTTAATCTACAGTAATCTGGCAAGTCTGTCCAAGCAGAAGTACTAGCCTGGGCAAAGACCCAGAAGTCAGGATGCTTCATGTGTGAATCTAGAGCAGCTCTGCTGAGACAGAAGGAACAAGTGGAAAGGTGGGGAATGAGTTTAGGAAATAGGGTTCAGGGGAGACCAAGGGGTTGTTGAGGGCTTTGGTTTTCTCTGAGTGGAATAGGAGACAGAAGAAGCACCTGTTTCACTTCTATAGTCATATTTCCCCCAGGTATGCACTTGAGGCAAAAATAAATGAAGGAAAAGAAAAAGTCTGATCCCTGATCTTCCCTAAAAGAAACTGCCATATCAGTACTCTTTATGTTACATACATAAGGGAACCTTAAATTTTGAACATACTTTATAAGTGCTATTCAAGTGTCTTGCTGCCTAAGAAATCTCTTTATCTATAACTTTATATTTCTAAGATGAATTTAGACTAGAAGCATGATAAACAGACTCATTTACTTTGGTGTCATTATTTGTTTGTTTGTTTATTTATATATTTATTTTTGTGCTGGTATCAGGGCTGGAACTCAGAGCCAGTTAGTGTCACTCAGCTTTCTTATTCACAGCCACATAATTGGCTGGTTAATTGAAGATGGAGTCTCATAGCTGTTTTTTTTTTTTTTTTTGCCTGGCTGCCTTCAAACTGAAATCCAAAAGTTCTCAGCTTCCTGAATAGATGGGATTACAGATGTGAGCCACTGACAACTGGCTGTTTTGGTATCAGTTATAAAACACTAAGTGTGACATTGAAGTCAGACATGGTACTGCATACCTGTAATCCCAGCTACTAGGAAGACAGTACTAGGAAGACAGAGGCAGGAAGATCACAAGTTTGAGGTCAGTCTGGGTAACCTTAATGAGGCTCTGGTCTCAAAAACAAAAGGTCTGCATGTAGTTGAAATGATAGAATACTTGTCTAGCAGCATCACAAAAACAAAGGCGAGAAGGCACTGAGTGTTGTTTGTGACACTGTGTCGCTTGACATTGAAAAAACAGAGGAGCTCAAGAACCCTCAGACCCCATCGATTTATCCTGAAACGAGTAAGAAGGATTGAGAAAACTTACCCATAAACCTATCTCAGAACTAAGTTCTCATAATAAAATGTGGCTTTGAAGCCAGTGTGAACCCTGTAAACCTAGCTGTTTGGATGTGGAGATTGAAGAATTCCCGTTTGAGGCCAGCCTGGGATCTTCACCAGTGGCTGAGCATGATGGCACAAGCTTTTAGCCCCAGGCTGCGAAGGAAGCGCTTTGGTGGGGTTCAGTGCACATGACTTTCATCTCAGAGACAGGGAAGCACAAATAGAAAAGTCCCAGGACATGCTAGCCCAGACAGAAATACATTTCATCCTATTCAAACTAGCCAATCAGGAGCAGATTGTGAACCCGAACTCAACCAATCTGAGCAAAAGGGTAGGGGCCTGCTACGTTAGGGATAAATAGGGGGACAGCCTTTCTGCTCTGAGTGCTTGCTTGCTTGCCAGATTTTTGGCTAATGGCACATCCTTCTACAGAAGTAAATTTTGCCTTGCTGAGACCAAAAGAAAAAAAAATGAGATATTAGCTGGGAAAACAAACAAAAAACCTCAACCAAAACCAGAAAAGAGCTGGTGGAGTGGCTCAAATAATAGAGTACCTCTAGCAAGTATAAGACCCTGAGTTCAAATATTAGAACTACCAAGACATACATTACATGTGTGCATACAT